CAAAATAGTAGTTATATAATAGTCACAGGATTGTAAAATATGGCATTAGGAATATAGTCAATAGTATCCCGAGTACTTGAAATACTGGGTGGGTCACTTTGTTTTTTCTTGTTGTTTCTCTTTCAAAGAAGTAGGTGAGAAGAGGCCCAGTAAGCTTTTATTTTTCTTGGATCTTCATTTTAATGTTATAAAAACTCATCTTAATGTGCTAGAAAATTAGTGTTTTCTTAATTCAAACATTATGTTCATAAATTCCAAGACATGTTTAAATCATTCCTAAACAGGCCAAATAGCCTAGTTTTTACATATCCCACTAACCACGAACTTACCTAACAAAGGCTATCAACACTGATTTGGTATAACAAGCAGTGGCATGTCTTTAAAATAATGCTTAATATGAAAGAAGTATGATTGTTGATAAATTGTTAAGCTGCATTTTTCCTTTTTTTCTTTTTAAATGTATCCTTATTATTAAATGTATTACAGATGTCCCTCCTTTTTTCCCCTCTAACCCCCTCCTCCCCACTCCTGCCCCTCTACTGTCTTCCCCACACTATTGTCTGCGTCTACTGGTTATGTATAAATGTATTTAAGTTCTTTGGTTTCTCTTTTCCTGACCCACCTCCCCCCTTTTCTTTGAGGTTTGTCAGTCTAACAACCAATGTGTACTTCTTAATCTCTTCATCTTTGTCACCCATTTTCCCAACCCCCTCCCATCTGGTGACCAACAAAAAGTTCTCTGTATCTGAGTCTGTTTCTGTTCTGCTTGCTCATTTGTTTATAGATTCAATTGTTGATAGATATGTATTTATTGCCATTTTATTGTTCATATTTTTTTATCTTCTTCTTGTTCTTCAAGAAGACCCGTCAACATTTCACATAATATTGGTTTGGTGGTGATGAACTCCTTTAGCCTTTTCTTGTCTGGGAAACTCTTTATATGTCCATGAATTCTAAATGATAGCTTTGCAGGATAGAGTTATCTTGGTTATAGGTCCTTGCTTGCCATCACTTTAAATATTTCTTGCCACTCCCTCCTGGCCTGCAAAGTTTCTTTTGAGAAATCAACTGACAGTCTTATGGGAGCTCCCTTGCAGGTAACTAACTGCTTTTAAAATTCTCTCTTTGACATTAACCTTTTGCACTTTAAGTATGATGTGTCTTGGTGTGGGACTCTTTGGGTTCATCTTGTTTGAGACTCTCTGTGCTTCCTGGACTTGCATGTCTGTTTCCTTTACCCAGTTAGGGAAGTTTTCTGTCATTATTTTTTCAAATAGGATTTCAGTTTCTTGCTCTGTCTGTTCTCCTTCTGGTACTCCAATGATGTGAATGCTGATATGCTTGAAACTGTCCAACAGGCTCCTTATACTAGCCTCAATTTTTTGGATTCTTTTTTCTTTTTGCTGTCCTGATTTGGTGTTTTTTGCTTCCTCGTATTCTAAAGTGATGGTTTGATTCTTGGCTTTACCTACTCTACTATTGATTCCCTGTAAATAATTCTTTATTTCAGTTAGTGCATCCTTCATTTCTGACTGGTCCTTTATCATGCTCTTGAGATCCTCATTAAGTTCCTTGACATTCTCACAAAGTTCCTTGAAATTCTAAGTTTATTGAGCATCCGTATAAACAGCATTTTGAACGCTGCATCTGTTAGGTTGCTTATCTCCATTTCATTTAGTTCTGGAGTTTTGTTCTGTTCTTTCATTTTGGACATGTTTCTTTGTCTCCTCATTTTGGCTGCCTCCCTGTGTTTGTTTCTATGTATCAGGTAGAGTTGCTATGTCCCCTAGGCTTCCTAGGGTGGCCTGTTATAGTAGATGTCCTGTACGGTCCAGTGGCATAGCCTCCCTGATCACCTCAGTTGGGCCTGGGTGGATCACTTTGTAAAACATATGATTGTCTTTCCACTATGCTGAAACTAAATAAAATAATACTGAATGTCAACTGTAACTGAAAAATAATATATGTACTTTTAATTTCAAAAAATGTTTATATAGCACTGTTCTTCCTATTAGGTAAAGAATACTAGAGATCTAGAATGTAAAAAAACTTAAAGTAAGGAACAGTAGATACCTAGAATGTCAGCTACTAACTATTGAAAAGTTTCCTGCCCTAGCCTCAGAGGTTGTGCAGAAGTCAAGAAGCCAAAGCTAGGAAAATATTTAAGGCATATTCATTTTCTTTGAAATCTGGAGTTTCCTTACAGTTTCTTAGTTTCTACAACTAACTTGGTCAATACCTTGAGTTACAAATAGTAATGGCTTTAACAAGTACAAATAAACTGGGAAGAATGTAAGAGGTACAGTAAGGTATGTAAAACAAAACAAAAATGTGTAGAATTACAAATCCATAATCCCCTAATAAGCTATTTCAAAATCCAAAAAGCTATGAAATCTGAAAGATTTTGTGCAATTTATTAGTGAACAGGAACTGACCTGTTCTGAACTCATGTGGTATCAACACCTGACTAACCTGAGACTCTTCTGAATTAGCCTACTGATGATGAACACTCATCTTAGGCTACAGAAATAATAATTCTCTTTATTACAGGGTGCTGCCCAGACCCCTGGGACTGTTATATACAGACATTAACACTGTGTGAATATTCACTGTATATCAATACACCATACTGCCATTCTGAAATTTGAAATATTCTCATTCCAAAGTACATCTAGCTTAAAGATCATCATAAATGGGATATGGGTCTCTTTCACATCAATTTCAACCCAGTTTAATAAATCATGCAAAAATACATTTATCTGAAAAGAGCCTGTTTGAATCAAGCACTAAGTACATTAAGTATTAATTATAAGAATTATTTTATATGTAAATGGTGAAAATTCAGCCATGTTCTGAAACATGGCTCATTCTGAACATGTTACAGAGCCAGCTTATTCTATATACTACATAAGCTCGATAAACAACACCTGCTCTTATGATGGCTCAGGAGACTTAGTACTCTGCAATCTCAATTCAGGAGTCAGTTTTACTGGTAAGACGCTATCAAAGCTACTTGTACCAGCAATTTTAACAGTAACCATGTGGTTCTAGGCAGAATTAAAGTAATACCACACACTGCCTACTAGATGCACAAAGTTTCACAACACATTTGGCAAACTAATTTCTACACACAGTTCTAATAAATTTATTCATGCTAAGAGGGGCCTACTAGTCTTCAGACATTTTTAAGTACTATCTGAAGAAAATGAGTATGGTTTTCATACAAATGGCAAAAACAAAATTGAAGGATTACATCTAACACAGATTAAAAAAAATACTCCATGTAGTTATTTCTCAATGTCTTCCATTCCTGCTATACCATGGAGCATAACAAATCCCCATGATGTATCTTTAGATTATACTTATCAGTGGATTTTGTTTATTTTTACTTTAATTTAAATACACAAAGTCAAAGCATCAATTAGCACAAATGCTATTAACAATGCTCTAAAACTAACAGAAAAACTTTCTCCTTGTGTTTGAAAGATTTAAAGACTAAGGCACTCTCTTTAATGATTTAGTCATTCAGTTCTAGATATATTTACTATATATACTTTACTTTCTTTACATTTAAAACATATAACTTTAAATAATTCAGTTTATAAGGGTTAGCTATATTTTTCACATAAATAATCCTAAATTAAAATTCAACATTCTGAATTTTAGAATATCCACTAAATGTGCTGTTTTTTCATGTTCCATGTCTTCTATATATTGATTTTCATTCTAGAAAGCTCTTTCCACACTTATCTTTCAAGGCTCAGATTAAAATGACCTCTCTTAAAGTATTCCTCAATTCCTCTGAATAGAATTATTCAACTTTTCTTCTTTGCTACCATTACATTTCTTTCATAGTGACAGTTATACTGTAATTATTTTTTCTCATCTAACCCCAATTAGGCAATCGACCTATACAAGGATGGTGAGATATTCTTTGTTTTTGCCCCAAAACTTTGCACACAAATGTCTCTCCCTCAATAAATATTTGAATGTATAAATGATCAAATAGTTAAGACTCCATAATCAGGCTATGTTTTACTCCAATACAACCATCTAATAAAAAATAAGGTAGGAAGTGTCAGTCTTCTAAGGCTAAAAGATTAAACCAACACTCTTTAAACAGAAGGAACAGTTCACAATCAATACCATAAATTACTCTAGTTGTGCTGTGACTATTAAATTGAAATGCAATGCTGTCCAATATCAAGAGCTGGAGAGAAAGGGCAGCCATGGTAACTTGATCTATTTCAAGTCTCTCTTGCTGCCACATCCTATGGCATTAAAACAGACGGATTTAGAGTCAATGATGAAAGCTTGAAGAACAAGATATTTTTGTAAGTAAAAATGTAAAATGACTTAAAAATTCTCTAGATCAATGTTTCTCAAACTTTTTTTGCACACGAATTCCTGGGATTCTGGTTAAAAAATGCAGACTGTGCCCTGGCCAGTGTTTTTCTTTCTCTCTCCCTCTCCGTCTTTCTCTAAAACTCAATTTAAAAATACAGACTGTAATTCAATAGCCGGCTGGGACCTGAAATTCTGCATTTTATTGTTGTTGTTAACCCTCACCCAAGGATATTTTTCATTGATAGAGTGGAAGGGAGGGAGGGGGGAAGGAGAGAGAGAAACATAGCTGTAAGAGAGACACATCAACTGGTTGCCTTCTACAGGACATGCCCTTGACTGGGAATTGAACCTGCAAACTTTCGCTCTGCAGGCCAACGTAACCGCTGAACCAAACCTGGCAGGGCAAATTCTGCATTTCTTAACAAGGTCTCTGTTGAGGATGATGCTGCTGGTCTACAAACTACAATTTAGCATAGACAAATATTATATTTCCCCCCAAAATCTAGGTTGGTCTTGTCTTGGTTTTAACTAGCATACCCTTGTTAATTTTCCTTGCTATAACCTATCTTGATAATATTAAACATATAAAACATTACTGAAAATTCAATTACAAGAAATCTATATTACTTAAAACAATATTTAATTGTTCTTACCTATACTCTGGTAATGCCATCGAAAGAAAATGCGTTCAGGTAGAAACTGCAATATTTTCTATAAAGAAAATTGTAAGATATTAAAAAAAAACTACAAATAAAATTACACATTTTCATGATAGGCCCATAATCCCCCTAAAGCAGTGGTTCTCAACCCTCCTAATGCCGCGACCCTTTAATACAGTTCCTCATGTTGTGGTAACCCCCAACTATAAAATTATTTTTGTTACTACTTCATAACTATAATTTTGCTACTGTTGCAAATTGCCATCGGAAATATGTGTTTTCTGATGGTCTTAGGCAACCCCTGTAAAACGGTTGTTCAACTGCCAAAGGGATCACGACCCAGAGGTTGAGAACCGCTGCCCTAAAGAAAAACAAGAAAAATAAAAATAAAATGAGTATTTTATTTTAATTAAATCATAGATATTGCTTAATTATTAAAATAATACTTTCTCAAATGCCAGGTTCCCCAGGCTTCTTCTTTTTCACTTTTCACTTCAAATTTCCATTATAATCATTGTTAGTCTCTAGATAAGAAAATGAGTTAGGAAAAAAGATGAACAAAAGAGGATGAGACCATAAATACTTCGGAATAACAAAATGAAACTGGTTGCAAAAATTGCTTGAAATTAAAAAAAGTTAAACCTAAGTTTTAGGATTGTAGTTATGAATCCCTCCACTGGTACATACAACAAAGAACAAGTTTATGATACATAAGAATATTTGGCTAATAAAAGCAGGTACCCTTCCCCCTTTAAAAAAAAAACAAAAAAAAACAACAATGAGAATGGACTCCTTTTTTTCACTCTAGAACAAGTTTTGGCAAGTTATTCTTGGGTATTATGATTACTTCTTTATCTGCAATCACTTTTAAAATGTAGAAATCCAAATCTAAACAAAATACATTTCTTGATATTGATAATACTTTTTTACTATGAAAATTCTCATTCTAGGTTTATCTAGCCCAGCAATTTTCAACCATTTTCATCTCATGGCACGCATCAACTAATTACTAAAATTCTGTGGCACACCAAAAAATACATTTTTTGTTAATCCTCACCTGACTTTTCAGTACAAATAAGTCTTTATTCATTCATTTTATTTTATCAGGAAAAAAAGAGGGGAAGGAAAAAAGTCAGTATACAAAATGATACATAGCAGTGGAAGTACGCAGCCCAGCAAAATCAATCATCAAGTAAACAGTCCCCAGTGACGGAGGTTACCAAAGCCCAAGGCGGCTACAGTCTTCTATAGTTCAGAAATGAGGAGAAGCAATCAGGGGAAGAACAGACAGGTACATGTTTTCCTACCCTTCCTCCCTCCACCCCATAAATTCAAGATTTGGCATAAAGCTTTGGTTTCTAGTAGTAAAGATGGAGTTACATTCATCTGTCTCCTATTAAACAATCTTGTAGTTACTTTCACATAAGTTTTTTTGTACCTGTGTAAAAGTACCTGAGTGACTTGGATATACATTCATCTTCCCTTTCTTGGTCTCCCCACCCCACTTTCAAAATGAAAGGCCCCTCTCATTGTTTCTCTCTACCTTAGGATTAGAGATTAAAATATAGCGATCTAAGTGTTTGGCATGAATCACATATCAAGGAGTGGTCTTGACTCAGGATATTTGATAGAAGGGATGGAGTATTCTTAGCTTCTTCAGGATTTTTGCATAAATCATTTAAGAGATGGGGTGACACTCCACACATTAAATTTGTATCTATGTGTATATGGGTTTTTTTGGGGGGGTACAAATAGAAGAGGAGATAGGGTAGAAGTCACATTTTTAGGACAGATCTGGTCCAAAATAGGAAATAGGGAAAGAAGAAACAAAAGAAAGGATGGTTCAAGACCCCTACTTCAAGAAGAGGGGTCGCCAGGCTTATGTTTCAGAAATTTTTTTCTCGGTGCAGAACCTTTTGTCAAAGATGCTTTGGTTATTCTTCGCAATATAAAATGAAGTTTGTAAACAATAAAACCCCAAAAGAACATGGAGAAAGATAAACACATTTCACAAAATAGGCCACCCAGCAATCATCAAAGCAGCTACTGTGAAGTCCTACAAAGCCCAGAAGAATACAATAACTAAAGGGGGCAGCAACTGAGGGAGACAAGAACCCAGCATCGGACACAAATCACCCAATGCATTCTATTGCACTTGCCCCATTTCAACACAGTGAGGTAGGTTTGTGGTGACCTCACAGCATGTAAATGAACCTGCTTTTCTCCTTTAGCTACTATGCCAATAATCACCCCTGCAGTAGGGCAGGATACTGGCTCTGGGCACTACAAAGAAGCAATCGCTTATGGTCTCTCTGGTAGCCAAGGGAAAAGCAAAGAATTTTTAAAGATTAAAGAATTTAGTCATTGCTTCATATATCCATCCCTGGAGAGCTCAAGATGGGTAGAGAGGTTTGTTCTTAAAACCCATCTTTACCAACTCATATTTTTTACAAACACAAACACACATACAGCTTGTTGTGTATGGTAGGCCTAGCTCAATTCAGTGAGGAATGGATCTGCCATGTAATGTGAGCCCTAAACCCTGGAATTACAGGTCTGTAACAGAAATCCTGGTTACACATATGGAGACAACCCACAACTAATCTTGGCTTCCTCTCTGCACCTGTCACCTAGCCCAGCCTCCCTTAACCTCTGCACCAACCACCTATTCCTGTTCAGACCAATTTCCAATCTTCCCATTGAAGGAGATCAAGTATGGGGCCACCTGTTAAAAATCTAGTCTTCCAGAGAACATCGAAGGTGGAAGGATTTCAAGAGGATATTGTGGCAGAAAAGCCAACTCTAACTGGCAAAAATGAGGTAATTCAAGAGACTTCATACTCCAAATAGTTGTTCTTCTTGATGATAAAACAACAAAAAGTATTCGTGCTGTGCAGACCCAGAGCTACTGACCACTTCTCCATGAGACTGCTCATGTACCTGAGAACAAACTGTAGGAATGAGTGCCTTATATTAAAATACACAAAAATACAAAACCATTATACAAAACAAATTATGAAAAAAAAAGTTAAAAAGCAAAAAATACATCATTTTCACACAACTAGTGCAGATGGCATCCCGACGAAAGTGGGACCCAAGGTGCAGTTATCCAAGGAACCAAATAAATAAAACTATGTTGGTTCAGAAATGGGGTAGGAGTAAGTTTAAGAGCAGCAGGTCTACAACTATTTCCTAAGCATCCCTTCTGCCTATCATCACAAACCATTACACCCTATCCCAAGAGTGGGTTATGAGGAGACAAGATATGGAAAAACCCTACTGTACACCTGAGAGATTCCCACCTACAGAATGTAGTTATTTGTGGACTGTGCTCATCAAGATGGTCTCATGCTAATCTTTTTATTCTGGCAGGAGAATAAATACATATCCTTCTTTAAAAGGGAAACAACTTCCCTATCCAGTCCACTTTCAAAAGCTGGAAATTCTGAGGATTGAGACTCAAATAAAGCATGTAAGGAGTGATTTCCTCCAAAGCCATCATATGCATTTGGATAGAGTGTGGTTGGAGTTCCTTTGCCTCACCTCCCCCCGGCCAAGAAGGAAAAGGAGGTGATGCTGTGAAACCTGAACAGAGATACATGGTAGTGCAACCTGCCCCCACCCATCCTGTCCTCACTTTCTCCATTCTGCAGAATGATGCTTGCTCCTTGAAACTTCCTGATCACAAAAGGATAGCCCCCCCCCACCACCACCACCACCACCTACTGTGGCTTAATTCTGGACATCTGGGAGCAGGGCAGGGATACAGATCTCTTCTTCCTCATGCTGAAAGTAGGCTGGTGTTCCCTGTGTGCTGGGGGCCGGCTGGGCCTTCAGTGGATATGAGGCCACCATATGCATGATGCTCTAGCGGGAGTGGCATTTCTTGGGTTGGGGTGGCAGCTTGCATTCCTTGGCATGATGGTCTAGACCTCCACAGTTGTAGCACCTGTCTCCTTTTGATCTGGGCTTCTACATGTTCTTCCCTTTTTGGTCACTTCTCACTCCCAATACAGAACACCCCACCAGGGCCAGTGACTCAGATAGATTCTAGGTCCTTGGAGGGCTTCTCAAAGGTGAACTCCACTGCCTCACTTTCCTTTAGGCTCTGGAAGCCTTCCATGTGCAGCTTACTCTAGTGTACAAGGACATTCACTGGTGGGTCGAACATGACCCTGGAGCAGTGGTCATGGACAGGGAAACCAAACTCCATGCACACATTGAACCACTTACTGATGCTGGGCACCATGCAGCAGCTGCGGCTCCTCCAGCCACATCCTCAGCCCCTTGGCACTACAGGTTTGACACAAAGCCCATGGTAGTCAGCTTAGACCATGGCCCCAGACCCCAGAGAAGTCCAGAGGCAAGGGCCTGAGGATGTATTTTTATTGATTTTTAGAGAGAAAGGAACAGAGAGAGAAAAATATCAATGTAAAAGAGAAACACTGACTGACTGCCTCCCGTATGCCCCCTGACCGGAGACCAAACATGCAACCCATTGGTGTATGGGAGATTGCTCCACCCAACTGAGCAACCTGGTCAGGGCAAAAAATATATAAACTTCTTTTTCCATTCACACTCGACAGCTATTGTTGTGTTGGCTATTGTCATTTTTTAATTTGACTATCTAAGGAGAAAGAGGTCAGTGCCCTTGACTAAATAATCAGGCATTTCATGTTTTAAAAAATTCTTGCACAGCACGCTGATTAAAAATTGGTGACCTAGCCTAATAGTCTAACATTTTTAAAGATTAAGGTAAAAAAACTATTCGGATCTGACAAGTATATTTCCAGGCAGCTAATAAACTGCCTTCTGCATTTGAGCCAGCTTGGGGTTTGGTTTTGGTTTAACCAGTCTAAACTTTCCAACTGGGTCAGTTATAATAATACACATGTATTTACTTAATCTGTTCTCACTTGACAATAAAGGAATGTGTAAGAACTTCAACTGAGAAAAGGCAAAACAGGTAAACTTCCATCAAACATGACTTTAAATGGCATGAACTTTCCCCTCAGTCTGGATGCTGCTCCACCCATAGCTTTGCACACAAGACACCACCTGACCATCCAGGTCTCTCATTACAAACAGGACCTCCTCACACAGGCCTTTTGAACATTCTATTGAGAGAAGCCTAGCTCCCTTGCCACCCCCTGATGCTTTGTGCATCACCTGTTCTATCACCTTCACAGTCCTCATCCCTAGCCAAAAGGATCTTATTGGTTCACTCATTTCAAGGCAATATTCCCTCCACCAGAGTAAAAACTCCATGAGAACAAGAGCATCTCTATCTTGTTCTCAGAAGTATCCCCAGCACCTAGAGCATCACTGGCACAGAGCATATTCTCAATAAATATTCAGTAAAAAATTTTTTAATGCTTTTTACTTGTGAAATTGTGAATTTTATACATAATCCCAATCTTTGTTATGGTCCTATGACCATATAAAGATTAAAGGTATTTTCTCTTTCCTTAAATGTCATTGGCTTAATATTTGCATTAAAATGTGTGGGCATTTTTAACCCTGAACTTAGTAAAGAAAACCCAAACAAAACAATAAAAACTGCATAATTTATTTAATTTTTTTTTCTTTATTGATTTTAGAGAAAGAAGAGGGGAGAGGGAGAGAGAGATAGAAACATCAGTGAGGGAGAATATCGATTGGCCACCTCCTGCATGACCCTCACTAGGAATTTCGCCCACAACCTGGGCATGTGCCTTGACTGGAATCAAATCGGCAACCTCTTGGTGCACGGGTCAATGCTCAACCACTGAGCCACACCAGCCGGGGAGAAAAACTGCATAATTTAAAAAAACTAATTTTTCAAGAACTGATAAATATAAACACTAAAATATAAATATATTTAGTTACATTATTTGTTATAAATTCTTCATAGTACATATCTACACTGATGAAATGTTATATAAACTATATCAAAGATTATTTCTGATTATATATATTAAAAGTGGTACACAGCTGAGCACATGCTGAAAATCACTGAAGTGAATGCTCTCCTATATCTTCTTTGCAGACTTCCCCTAGAACACGTTGGTTTGTTATCTTTTAAGCCCTTAACTCTAAAAGGTATCTTATATTTTGATTTCCTATGTGATAATGCTAACATACACTCAAACACACACACACACACGCACACACAATGTGTGCACATGAATCAAATCCATTTAGTGAAAAACACCTACACAGTAGATACCAAGCTTGCCATTTGAAATAAAACAAATGTGAATAAAATATTTAGTTTCTACTTCTAAGGGTTTCATGATTAGTGCACAAGAGAGACAGTAAAAATATATCATTTAGGGAAAAAAAAAGCTGACAAAAGTTTGTCTGAGGTGCTACAGAGGTGGGGGTAGGGGAGAAGCATGTCATCTCAGCAAGGGCATCATGAAATGCTTCCTGGGAAACAAAACACCTGAGCTGAGATGTACAGGTTTAATTAAATTAGCCTAGTGGAGAACAGAAACAGAAGGAAGAACATACATGAATACCAAGAAGCAAAGACAGTTTGGTGCCTTAAAGGAACAGCAGAAGCAAGAGGGTCTGCTTGACTGGTAAGTGGGCAAGGAAGAGAGGAGGTGGAACTGGAGAAGCAAGTGAGGCTGGAGTTAATATTCTCATGGAGCAGTGCAATTGGCTAATCAGGTTCCAGCTGTAGGTGAATTTAAGATGACTGAAAAATGCAAGAGAAGCAGAGATGTCAATGAAGAGGCAATGGTAGTATTTCAGATGAGGAATGAAATGGCCTGGACCAAAGTCAGCAAGGTACAGAGGAGGACCATATGACCATAATATTCAGGAGGTAAAATTGTCAGGTTGAGAAGGTAGAGTTGCTGTGGTAAATGGAGGCCTTGAGAATGACTCCCTAATGGCTTAGTAGACTGCAATACTTTTATCTAAGATATCAAATCCAGAAGAAATCCCAGAATTGAAGCATGTTAACATTGGCTCTGAATGTCCTAATCTATTAAGGTGTCAATAGATGATCTTAGTGGAGATGTTCTTCTAGGCAACTGAATGTATGGGTCTGGAGTGCAACAGGATTTAGATGGTAACAGGACACAGAGAGCCGCTGAAGGTGTGTGTATATGAGATCCCTCTGAGAGTGAGCTTAAAATGAGAAGATGAGATAAAACTCTAGAAATATCACTGTGCTGAAGTTCTCCCAAGAAGGTAAGGATGGCCCTGGCCGGTTTGTCTAAGCAGTTAGAGCATCGGCCCATGGACCAGAGAGTCCCGGGTTCGGTTCCCACTAAGGGCATGTACCTTGGTTGCAGTTTGTCCCCGGCCCCAGTTAGGGTTTTGTGGGTGGCAACCAGTCAATGTGTCTCTCACACTGATGTTTCTCTTTCTCTCTTCCTCCCACTTTCCCTCCTGCTCTATCTGAAGATAAAAATGCAAAAAAAGTGTCCTCGGGTGAGGATAAAAGAAAAAAAGTTAAGGATGAAAAAGATAGAGCAGAAGCTACCGACAATGTGCACAGGTCAAAGGACAAACTTTTGATGTGCCAAGTGTTGTATGTTTGTTATAAAGATTAGAAATATTGCCCTGGTCGGTTTGACTCAGTGGTTAGATTGTCGGCATGCGGTCCAGAGAGACCCGGGTTCGGTTCCTGCTAAGGGCATGTACCTCAGTTGCAGTTTGATCCCGGCCCTGGTTGGGTCGTGTGGGTGGCAACCACTCGATGTGTCCCTTTCACGTCGATGTTTCTCTCTCTCTCTCTCTCCCTCCCACTCTATCTGAACAAAATATTGAAAAATGTCCTCGGGTGAGGATTAAAAAGAAAAGATTAGAAATATTTATGTTTATCTATATGCACAACTAGTAAGAAAAAGTTAAAGATGCTGGACAACATGGGAAAATTGATGCCATGCAACAAAGTGAATTCCACATTAAATCAAGGTGCTCAATGTTAACTGTTGCTCAGAAAACCTACAACCTTTGTCAGCTAGACACCAAATTCCAGGCAGCATAGATCCACCTATAAATTGTGGGAGACAAGTGGCTCTTGGAGGGGGGAAAAATCAAAACAGATCTTCATCTTACAATATACACACACTAACATGAATTTTAGATGGATAACACACAAAAGAAATTAAGTGTAAAAACTGTATTATGTTTTAAGTTCCATTACACTAAAAAGAAATCAAAAGTTAAAAAAAAAAAAAAAAAGCCAGCCCAGCCATGTGGCTCAGTGGATTGAGTTCCCAGTTCAATTCCAAGTCAGGGCATATGCCTGAGTTGCGGGCTAGATCCCCAACAGGGGGTGTGCAGAAGGCAGCCGATCAATGTTTCTCTCTCATATTGATGTTTCTCTCTCCTTTCCTTTCTCTCTAAAAATTATTAAAAACTTAAAAAAAAAAAAAAGAGCCAGTTCTCTCTACAGAATATTTTAGTAAGAACCCACACAAGCACTGTCCTAGCAAGAGAATGTAAACCCGGACCTCTCCCCATGAGCTGTAAAAGATGACACAGACAGGAGTGAGAATCCAAGGAGCTGTCTAGAGATTATGCAAAAACACAAGAAAAGAGATTACTACAAGTAAACCAATGACTTTGGAACTGAGGATAAGAATGAAGGTCTCAGCAATCAGGTTGTGGCCAAGCCAAACAGGCAACTCTAGAGCCCAGAATAAGGACAATGTGGAGATAGACTTGGAGGTCTTCAGACTAAAGAGAAAAAGATGTCCTCCACTTTCCCCTAAGTTTTATGATTCTTTAACTCATACTTTCTCTTTAAAAAATGTACTATAGAGGCTAGTTCAATATGATTGATAAAAATTGAATACTAACTGTTGCAGGTTGAGTTCTCTAGAAACAGACGCTGCAGTGGAGTTAGGAGTGCTAGATTTATTGGGGAGTAATATCTGTGAAAGAGAAATTAGAAAGCAGGATTGGGGAGGGAGCCTAGCAGGAACTCTAGGCATGTTAGAGGAGCACCAAGTGCCTGAAAATGCCAAGGCACTTGCTACCCACCTCACTCAGTCAATGGTTGGTGACCATGATAAGAGGGTGACTGACCATGGCTGGAAAGCTGAAAGCATTAACAGGTGGAGGTTGCCAGCTAATCCATCCTTGCAGCTGAGCAGCAAATTCTTTCTTGAAGAGAGAACGGTGAGCAGCATATCTCTATGTCTACCATAATAATATTCAAATGATTAATTAGAATATTCTCATTATATAAGAGGCCACAGTACTAAGAGAAGTGTACCCTACTTCAGGAACATGGTCTCTGCTGGCAATGTTTCTCATCAGTTGGCTGCTGCCTCATATTGATGGAAGCCTGGGTCCAATGAGTCCTTCCTGTACCTTTTCTGCCTCCTTCCTGAACAAACAGTACAGCAGAGACTCAGTGTCCTATTTTCTCATGCATTTTCCTCCAAAGGGACTTGGCACATCAGCTATGTTCCAGGATCATCTTCTGATCTCATCTTGCCACTTAATTTTAAAATGTCTTATAGAAGACACGAAGAAAATTATTCTAGAGATTCAGGATAGATCTTATCTCGGACTAGATGAATGCTTGGCATGCCCACTGTTCTTCAGATCTATACTTTGGTCAAAAGAAGCACTGAGTCATGCTTTTCAGCTTTCCATAATACTTATCATTTTTCTTGATTTAGGTTTCTTTTCTTAGTATGCAACAAAGAAAAATGTCTTTTTAATATAAAGAAAAATAAAAAATACAGTAAGAATATGTGTATTTAGATGCTTGGATACTGTCAGTTAGACACAAATAGTCTCTAACTTGTTATATCAGGCCTATCACTGTCACTACTTCTCGATAAAAGTTTTCAGATTTACAAAGTGGATGAACTTTAAAGACACTCATAAATAAACTCAATAATGTTTAAATATGAAACACCATGTCCAATGTCAGAGCTACTAAAAATATTACCTAATGTACATAATCTTACACAATTCCTCAAAGGCTGAAATTTCATCCATAATGAAATTTCTTTTTGCACCCAAATATTGCAAAGGCCATTTTTATATACTAAAATCTATGAGGTCAATAAAAATAACGCCTGTCCCTGAGAAAGTACCAGATGAAGCCTATCTTTACTGAGGCAAGTACAATATGGCATTTCTATGACAGCCAATATTCTAAGCTACACTATTTTGAATGCCACATAAGCTATATAAAGTATTGACATCTTACTTGTAGTTTCACTGGAGAGTAAATTTTAAAAATTTTCAAGAAAGCCACACAGTGTCAATAAATATTACTTTTCTGAAAAACACATGACTCTGTTTAATGCTCAGTGCTCAGCTACATCTATATGGTAATCCATTATAGCACACTTGAAATCAAAATTAGGTATTACTAACTGATCAGCACAACAGGGAATCTGTCATTCTTTTAACTTATTATCCACAGTTCTTTTTTCTACAGAACCTACTGCATGACCAGGAATAATGTGAAATGTAAGCTGGAGTTTATACAAGATGCTATGTACGGTGTACTTTAAAACTGTTGATCATCCTCCTATGCACCAAAGGGTCACAGGTTCGATTTCCGGTCAGGGTACACACCAGGGTTGCGGGTTTGATCCCTGGTCAGAGCGCATGTGTGAGGCAACCAATCTATGTTTATCTCTCACATCAATGTTTCTCCCCCTCACCCCCACCCATCGTCTCTTCCTCTCTATAGAACCAATGAAAAGCATATCTTCAGGTGAGGATTAAAAATAAATTTTAAAAATAAAATTGCTGATTGTCATTAAATTTGTGTGGGAAACATTTTTTTTTTCAAATTATTACTAAATGATTGCAACATATTCCAGTAGATTCACACTTGATTTCAATTCCACTTAGAAAGGGAAGACAATGAAGAATGAGAAAAATACTACATACTAACTCATATAAGGTATACTAAACCAATAACCAACAAAACATATCCCAAATCAGAGGACAAGGGGAGAAACTCTCCCTGAAACTAGATGCATGACACAAGGATGCTAGGTAAAGAAAATGTGGACAAAGAAGAAAATATAAAGTTTGATTTAAAAGAATAGAAGTCTTAGTAATCTTTTGAGTTATATGATGAGAACTGGGCAGTTAAGTTTAAAAGAATCATCCTGTGAATGCCTGTGCTAGAAGAATAGTTTGGCTTCAGAAGGACCCATATGTGTAGGAGCCACTTGGCATGAACACTTCCAGGTAAACCTACAGAAAGGGCAACACTCTTCAGCTGTCTTGGGCCTGGCCACTTCATCTCTATTTAAAATGACTCTATTTCCTAATGTGGACAAGATATTTTCATTGAGCTCTAAGTGTTGACATTTGTTTGGGACCTTAAAATTTAAGAGAAATAGAGCTAAGATAAGGAACACATACATAATCTTAAAAGTAAGATGAGTACATTTTTATCTAAAAAAAAGAAAAAGTAATGCTTTTCTTCTTATACTGCCAATCCCTTTCAATATTGTACACTATCTAATCACTAGCCATGTTGTTACTGAGTAAGAACAGCCCAGCTCCAACTTGTCACATCCTTTTCAGTCTTTAAGACAAAATTCAAACATCACCTTTTGAGAAGGGTCTAATTCAAATGTAACTCTCACCACATCCCCACCAGCTAGTTTTCCAGCAGATGGGCACAGGGCCCACTCCACCATTAGATGCTGGATTCCTTGAGAGAAGAGACCTTCTATTAGCCATCTTGTATCCACAGCATCAAAAATTGTACCTGGCACATAATATTTCCTAATAAACACTGCATGCACAAATAAAGGAATAAGTAAAAATGAAAAAAACGAAAGACCATGGGAATTCTAATTTTAGTTCATGTGTACAAAATGCCCAAGCTTAAGGAAGGTACTCATACTCCAATATGATAGAAATACAGAATTTGGTGAGTAGGCATTAGGTAAAGATAACTGAGAATAAAATTGGGCTTTCACACACTGCAGTATATCTTTATGCTTGATTAGATCATCATTCAGAGGGCAATAATTTCCTTGGCTAACAAGAAAATGAATAAAAGTATTTCAAAAGAGAGACTTAAAATACAAGGCAAAGACATATAAAGGAAATATGGAATGTAATAAAAAAAGAGAAGCATCTAATTTCTCTCTCCTGCATTTTAGAAATCAACTAATATTATAAAGTTAAAAAACCTCATTAAGCAATGAAAACCCAGAAAGGATAAGGATCCCATCTATAACCAAAACACTTAGAAGGATCATTGCTTAAAGAACAGATGAAACTGCAAAGACGCATGGGTGGGGGTGCCCTCCCATGAAAGCAGAACACACCTAGAATATGCAACAAAAGAGGAAACCCTTCTAAAGAAAAATGGAAATGCACCCTTCTGAAATAGATTTGCTAAAATAAATAAATAAATAAATAAAACGGTAATTTTTTAGAATTTCTGATTCATGTTCCATTAAATATTTTCAAGACCTAGGAAAATAAAGCAGATACACAAATATGTAACATTCTGAAAATCAAAAAGTATTACATAGAAATGAAACACATGGAAAGCATGAGTCTAGAGTCTACCTCAGAATCCCCTCACTGTAAACCTGCGCTGGGGCACTGCACATTACAGGGACTTTCCTACAACTAAATAAATTAAACAGAGAAAAATACCTATATGTAGCACATTGAAAGTTGTAAATTCAAATATAATTAAAAGTCTGATACAAATCTAAAAAGAAAAAGTAGATTATCTATGAAAGGTCAAAAATCAGGTTGACCTCGGTTTTTCTCCCAGCAACATTAGAACCATGTAGAACAAAGCACCAGAGATAGACATATATGGAGAGCAGGAGTCCCAAAGTACACCAGGTGTCTACATAAAAATCTAGTATATGATGCCCGGCTAGTGTGGCTCAGTGGATTGAGCATCGCCCCATGGACAGAGGGGGGTCCTGGTTCAATTCCTAGTCAGGGTACATGCCTGGGGTTGCAGGCTCACTCCCCAGTAGGCGACATGCAGGAGGCAGCCGATCAATGTATCTCTCTCACATTGATGTTTCTATGTCTCCCTCCCTCCCTCTCTCTCTAAAAAATCAATAAAAACATTTAAAAAAAGAATCTAGTATATGATAAATTACATGAGTAAACTATATTTACTTTGAAAAGCAAACAAAATTCAGAGTTTTAAAGAGAAAAAAAGATTATAATTTGAAAATTATATAACCAGCTATATATAAAGAGAGATATTCTAGAGCTGGAAATATATCAGCCACAACATACTAAGTGATTCTTATTTCAGAAAACATAGAGATTAATTGAGCAATCCAAAAATAAGACAGGGAAAATAAACTCTGTGACAGTAAACTGTATTTATATAATTGAAATCATATGGTTATAAAAATAGAGTAAATCTTTTAAGTGATTAACATAAAATAAATAATATTCTAAAGAATATAATAAAATAACCTAGATATAAAATGCTTAAAAGAGCCCTGGCCAGTTTTTCTCAGTGGTTACAGCATCAGCCGATGGACCAAAGGGTCTCAGGTCTGATTCTGAGCAAGGGCATGTACCTGGATTACAGGTTAGACTGCCTGCCCTGGCTGGGGTAGTGCAGGATGCAACCAATCAATGTGCCTCTCTCACATCAATGTTTCTCTCTCTCCCCCTCTCTTCCACTATATTTTTTAAAAAGGAAAGAAAAAGGGGAAAAAAAGAAAAATATCCTCAGGTGAGTATTAACAAAAAATAAAAACAAAATGCTTAAGAGAGCTGAGAAATGAGAAGTGCAAAAGATACATTGAGTTAAAGTAAAAGAATGGGGCTATCAAATATTGCTTTAATCTTGATACAGATAATCAAAACAAAAGAGGTTCAAATAGTACTTTGTTAATTAAAAAATAATTACTGGAATAATAGAAAATAGAAAGTACATCTTCCAAGTCACAAAGCATATTCCATAATGTGAAAGTGGGTGAACTCTCCCCCAAAAAACAAAAGTAAAAGAAAACAAAAATGTTAGTTATCACATAAAAAGAATAATAAATATAAATAATTTAAACTCCCTTACAAAACCAAATAAATCAGAACCGGCTTTCAAGCACAGAAAGATTAACAATAAAATTCGGAAAAAGATGTATTAGGTACATGTGGGCACAAATGCACAACAAAGAACTATCAATATCAAGTGAAAGGCTTTAAAACAGATA